AGTTACGTGGGATTCTTCTGAACTGTACCAGTATGAGATTAAATGCACTCTAAGAGTGATCACTGACATCTCCTGAAATCAGTGCTGCAGTAGACATTCTGCTGTCAGACAAAGACAACAAAAAGTAGCCACTCTGCTAGAAATGAGCCATTTTTTACAGCCTGTGCTTTTGCAGAAAATTCTCTTAAACCACAGTAATTTCTGGTAACAATACTATCAAGCAATACTGAAATAAGGACACACACTTACCACTGAAAATCTCCTTCTCTAGCTGTTCATTCCATTCCAGTGTACTTTTCTCCATTGTTTCATTTTGGTTTGTATCCAAAGAATGACCACTTGTTTCAGCTGGCATTGGGGAATTACACATTTCAGCCTGTTAAAAATTGTAAGGTAACCTGGTTTTAGTTCTACATGTGGGTTCAAATCACATTTCACATATCGCATCACAAGCTGTGTCACAAATTCCAGAGGTGAGCAAACTCTGTCAGTCCATTAAATAAAGTATTATTAAAATACACAACTGAGGGTTGTAAAATTGCATACAGTTTATAGACTTCTACACATATAATAAGGAGAATTACTCATCTTGTCCTCATCCTGTAGCATGTTTTGCATAAGGGAATAGTTTACTTATTTTATCCTAATGCATCCTTATTGCATTATATCTCTCAATTTAGTTTTCCACAATTACTTCTTCCTTGACCACTGTATTTTAAAATTCACCCACTGACCTCCCAACAGAGATTTAATAATTTAACACTACTGTCATTTTCTTATAGGAAGACAGCATTTAGTGGTAAAAGTGGGGAAAATGTCATCCTATTCCCCATCTGTGTTTGGATGACATGTTAAACTGAGAGGTTCTATCCCACCCATTTTTCTCTAAGCTCACAGTCTCAGATGGTGGAAGTGCAGACAACTGTTTAACTGCTGAATTATTTCAGCTGAAACTCTTCCTCCTTTTTTCAAAAAAGCCCACCCTACTACTTCTTTTGTTCATCATATTCATAATATTTTACTCACCTATCTATATCTTTATATAATATGTTTCTATAACAGATAGGATTCTGTGATAAGATCTTTGCTCAGTCATATATTAATATAGATTATCCCTTTGTTTTTGAAATATGAGAGAAGGGAGGTGGCCAGTTTACATCCTCTGTGGCTTTGATTATACACTGTATACCTTGGTTATACCACCCAGTTGAAGATGAGGAAAAACATGTTAGTAATACAGGGTAATAAAATAATTAAGATAGAAAATATAATCCTTGGAAGAAAATCTGATATTTCAACAGCATGCACTTAAATTACATCAGAAATAAATCTGTTTTATCCTTAAAATGAGCTTGTGTTATAGAATGGAACATCCATCCATCCATCCATCCATCCATCCATCCATCCATCCATCCATCCAAAAAAACCCCAACAAATTCCTACTTCAAAATTTACATTTACATGGTAACTCTGTGCATGGAAATGTTGCACAAGAGGTTCTAGATTACTGCCTGCCCAGGCCAGCTACTCTTTTTCATTCTTGTACAAATGAAATGAAACAAAGTAAATATACTAGATTATTGTTTAGTGTGAGTTTTGATCTATTTACAGGTTGGTTACAGTTGCCAAGATATGTGAAGGTCCTGACCTAGGAAAATATCCATGCAATTATTCTGTCATTATGAGAGAACTGAAATCCAGCAGAGCTAGATGTCCTAGCTAGGAAAGCTTTGGATTTTAACAGACAAGCTCAGTCTACTGCATGGAACAAGTTCACAACGCAAACATTTTACTCAACATTTAAAGCAAGAAGTGCAAGAATACTATTTAAACATATGTTAAAGCAACACCCTACACCAAGGGGACTGCTTTTTGAAAAATTGCACAAACATTGCAGACAAGAAATGGATAAGCTACTTACCGTTGCCATTTCTTCCACTTTTGAGGGTGGGCTAGCAGAACTGTCATATCTGTAGGCAGAGGGATTTAAATGTTGGTTTTGAAAACAAACTTGCTGTAATTTCATCAGGTAGCAAATATCCAGCAGCTTCTCATTTTAACAACTATTGAGAAGCATCTGAAAAAAAACTTGCTCTATGAAGAATTCATCCTTACCTCCCCCCTGCCAATATCCTACAAAAATAAAGTGCTCAGAAAATGTACCATTCAGTTTGGCCTTGTCAGCTTGCAAACTTCATAACTGCACAGCCAAAAATGAACTCAACCCACTGACATCTCAGTGTCTGCAACACAGCTGTTTCAATCCAGCATGATGGTACGATGGTATTCATTCTTTTTCCAAACAACAATAATTTAGTAGGTACTAGTCATAGCCTAAGTTATATACTTGTTAAGTTCTGACTGGTTTGCATCTGCAGTTCTATTGTTTTTCTCTTTCGTTTTACCCTACTCAGACATAGAGCTGTGCTCTGTCCCTGCAAAGGAGGAGAGACAGACAGCAGATTGGTTTGGGTCTGAACTTTGGAACCTTCAGCTATTCACCCAAAACAGCCTTTATTTACCAATTTTTAAGACATGGTAGAAGGCTCATCTGCTTTCCTAAGCTATTTAAGGCTGCAAGGGCTTGGCAGAGTACTGGCTCGAGCGTCCATGAGTAATGCAGTGGTTAGAACAAGCCGAGAAGCCCCGAACAAAAAAAGTACTCTGTTTGATGGGGTGACTTGCAGACAAATACAAAATAAATGAAAGAAACAAGAACAGGACTAGACGTCACCGAGTCTATTCAAGTCTGCAGATCCTTGTTTTACAACTAAGCAAACCCAGTCCCTTCAAAAGCCCTGAAGGAAATGTTGTTCAGCCTGTGCTGATTGCCAATTCTTCCTCGTCTCAGAAACTGTTTTTTTCCCAGGAAGTTAATTCTTGGGAGAAAATGAAGTAGGGAAAGATGGTTCTGCTCAGTCCTGTTTGTCTCAAAGTCTTTTTGAATGACCTTGTTCTTAGGCTCTTAAAGCCTCCCTGTGCTCAGGTAGACTACTTTATTGTGCTTCAACAGCAAGTATAAACCGGCTTGTTGGCAAGTTCTTTGTGGCCCAGCCTTTCCTCCTGAAGTGCTTTGTCATTTGTTTGCAATGTGCTTGCAGGCAGGGAAGAACAGTTGAAAGGTGCAATTTGTTTTTGCTTCTGTAATTGTGAACTGTAAAACCAGGATTCCTCTCTGACATGGGGTCCAACTGAAACCAAACAAGCCTGTTGACTTCAGCGGGCTTAGGATTCGGCTAGACAGTCTGAATCTAAAATTCCTAGTTTTTCCTTGTACTCTGAATAAAAACAGCCATTAAATCAGGGGGTTACCTCCCCCTTTGAATGAAGTTGACAGAACCAGAACTTAGAAATGTATGTAGCTTTTCCTTTAAACTTAAATAAAGTTGTGTTTTAATGCTTCTAAAACAAATTAAGAACGAAACTTACATTTCAGAGCTTTTACAATGATTTCCTGAAAATTAAGTTCAGTAAAATCCTGTGGCTTAGCAAGTTATCATAGTTTTACTTATATGCATAACGAAAATGCAAAAGCTTTGTTAGAAGCTTTCTTCTTCAGCTTTACTGTGCAAAGCCACTCTTTGGCAAAGCCCAAGAGCACAAAGCTCTCCCCACTTGATGTTGTATTAATTGCTCCTTGCAATGAACCTACGTGAAGTAGTCATATTAGTTACAAATGTCTTCTGATAGTCTAGGCAAAATTTAAATTTTCATTTGCACCTCTGGCACTATTCTAAATTCATCTGTGTCTTTATTGCCACTGTTCTCTAGAAATAACTGCTCATTGCATCCTGCTTTATTTTTCTCCCTGCTAACTTACACTGATGAGGTTATTTTAATATTTTCTTTATGCCAATCTCTCTATTTCCCAAACTGCCTTATTAGTTTCTATGAACTGTTTTAATTTTTCCAGCATTTCAAAAGTAAAGTTTTTCTTACTTTCAGAGAAATATTGCCTAATTTTAGGAAAGAGTAATTCAGTTTCTTTTTTGGTTAATGACACTGAGCAATGTTTGTATTATTTTACACACAATGCATATACACATATTTGTAAATATTGTCTATTATTCATAAACAGGAAAGAAGCAAAAATTATGTTCAAGTTCAGAAATATTTGCTATCTGGAAATTACTCCTCAGTATGGAAAATGAGAAATTATATTTTCTACTTTTCCACTTACATACATATGTATCTTTTTATGACAATCAAATGGAAGATTAAAAGTAAAAGATGACTATCACTACTGGTAACAATAATGAAAATCCATGAATTAAAATCTTCTGTGAATTAGTATTTCCACAGAGGAAAGGCACCTGTCTTCTCCAGGCTACCACCAAGCTGTCTAATGTCAGTATAATCCACTTTCTTCAATACCATTCTTATTGGTACTACGTAAAAAGCCAACTAAAAACCAAACGCATAACTCACATATGCTGAAAACACAATTAAACAGCATTTTCATCCAGGATGAATCACACTTACATACATAGAAAATAGTAAGGATGAATTCAAGAACGCTGACACCTTTGAACCAAAAGTGATCAAACTGCCTTCAGAGTACAGTTACAAACCTTTTATTAGCATCTTCTGTATGTCCATGTGAGCGCACTCCTTCCTGCAGTATCCATAATTTATTCTCACAGTAGAACACCACCGCAGCTGCCGAAACTGTCTCTCCAGAACTGAAAGGACCCTCTAACCAGCCATTAATGTTTAGCCATTGAAAAGCTTCTGCCAGTTAGGATTACTTAAGGATTTACAGAGCTGCGTCCTATAGTGTTTCACTAGCGCTCCAAAATAACTCTACCTGGTGAGAGGCAGACTGTTTCAGTGCTTTGCCTATGCATAAAGCAAACCACATGCCACGGCAACACCTAGAAGAGGGTGGGGGAAGTTTTCAACAGAGAGGCGTGACTAGAAAATGTAGCAATCAGCTCAGTTACACGTCAGGATTGACTTGTTTATTTTTCAAGTTATGCTCGGTCAGAAATCAAAGGCATCTGAGCCTGAGATACGATAGATTTTCCATGGAAAAGCCAGATAAACACACATGAGAAAAGCTGATCTAATGAGTAGGCACAGTTTGTTTGGTTTTTTTTTTTGCCTTCTTAAATTAAGAAATCATTTCAGTCTTAGATTCTACAGCAAAGCCTCGACCTTCATGTGTGCATTGGCTACCTCGCTGTGCACCAGGGTAAAGCACCCTTGAAATCTGATTCTCAGTTACACAAGTGTCCCTTTATTCTTCAGGGAAGACTGTGGCCCAGCATTTCTGTGTTCCAGGATAAGGGGCATTACCAGGTCACAAGAAAGAAGAAGGAGAAGATGACAGGTATGGAGCAGTGTTAACATTGCATATTCTTTTTCTGTGTTGTGTTGTTATGTAAGAGAATTGTTACTAGTGAAAATCCACAAAGCTAACCTCACAGCCTCTACTTAAACCTCTCCTTAAATCTCCTGCTTTGATACAAACACTTCACAATAGCAAGCTGCTCTGTTACAAAACCTACGTATCTGACTAATCATAATTTCTTTAGAGGCTTGCATTCCCTGTCATTGTTTATTACATCTGTTCCTTGTCTTGCCATCATGCCAGCAGGGAGCCCCAGGCACAGACCAGAATACTAGTCTGAGACTCACTGAGTGAAAATCGGCTTTTTGTACCAAAGATCTTGCACCTTTATACTTAGTTTTCACAGCACTGCACAATGCAGCTCTACCTGTGATTGCCAGTCCCAAGCATTACCCTGAGATGCACACAAGAATAGTAAGACTTCATTCACCTGTTGCTGACATATGGCCACACAGGAAAAAAGTTAAGAGAGATCAGGCAGCCTCACCAGCCTGACTGTAGCTTCCCCCACCCCTTTTCCTCTGAACAGCAGCTTCATCCCTGGGAATGCAAAGGAGAAGGATGCTCTTCAAACAGCAGCTCGAGAGCTGTGTATGAGACCAACTTTGGTTCAGATTCAAAAACCAAAGGAAACCAAAGCAAACCCAAGTACAGAATCCAAAGCACCGACAAAGCATGGAAGGCAAAAGGACTAAGAGCCGTCTGGGTTGCCTGGCTGGAGCTAAAGCTGCAGGGCTGCCTCTAAGCTGCCTCTGGGCTAGAAATGGTGGGAACTGATGCATAGAGCTGCCTGGGGCCGGTACTCTCTGCCATGACTTGGGAGAGCTATGCTTTCCTATTGTATCACAGCCATAGGGCACCAGATCCCCATGCACCTTACACTGTGTCCTCTTGAGAGGGAATGAAACAGGATGCAGCTGCTCCTAAATCTACAGTCTTTCATATACTTTAAGTCTTTATGCAAAACCTGAGCAAAATAAGTTTAGCCAAGAGAGTCTACCTACTACTTGTGACTTGACTCTTTCTTCTGACACAATACAGATAATCTCTCATTACAGGACCTAGTAAAATCCCAATCTTCCCAATGATGTAAAAAGCAAGAGACTGAAAAAATAATTTAACAACATTTTCTAAAAATTTTTAACTTTGCTTTAAACCACAGAACAATTAATATACTTTTCTAAAGCTGGAAATAATGTATGCTCTGATTATAGCTCACCGTGGTTGCTTCTGAGTCTGGGTTTTCCTTGATCTTCTAAAAGAGGAAAGCCAAGCAAAAGGTGATCTGAATCCCAGAAAGGAAGCTGAAGTGTTCTTTTGTGCTTGAGGATTTGTGCGGGACGACATGTTTATTTCTTTATGATCTAAAAATGTGATAAAAAGGAGATTTGTTTCGAGTTCTTAATAAAGACAGTATTAAAATATACATAAATGTTATGTCTCCATAAACAATTTTTTTTGCTTACCTTTTATGTCAGGTAAATCCAGTTTTGACATTTTTGGACAGACAATGTGACATACTGGTTTATAATGACTAACTAGATGACAGAAAGATAAACAGGTCTAAAGTTTCAAAATGTATTATTTGTTTTGGGTGATGCATGTGAGATACATGAGGCTGATTTTCACAAAGTAATCAGAACTCAATTTCTTGAAAATCATATCTGTTTTAAAATACAGGCAAATCAAACATTTGAAAATTGAGGCACCCACAATCATTACTCGCTTTCTTTTTATGTTTGTAAGAAATATAAATGTGACAACCCAGAATATACAATGACCTAACTGACTGTAATGTCATAACACCAACTCAAACTAACATGTCCTCTGTATCATAGATTTCCTTACATGGAATTCCTGTGGCCACATGGAGTACTTTTTTTTTCCTGCTACAAATTGCATATCACATCTGTATTTTCAGTGCAAGTTACCGTGAATGATTTCTTTGGAAAGGTTATGACTTGTTTTCTTCAAATGGAACATAAACTCAGTCTGCCTGTAAAAAGCAGCTGGCATTTGGTGGAGGATGAGTATCACTTAGAGAAAAGGGAAAGAAAGGGCACAATCTGCACCACACCACAGTGAACTGGAGGACATAAGGAAACAAGATGTCACTCAGGATAAGGCATTATTTTTTTTTCCATTTAAAGCAACACACGCCTGAAACAATACAATAGCCTGAAAATAGCTTATCCAATGACTGTAGGAAAAAGCAAACCCAGAAATTAGGGCTGTCATTTGTAACGATAGTAAGGTGCAGCATTTTGGACATTTTCCAAAATTAAGTGCACAATTCATGTAATGTGATTTAAATCTCATGTGTATACGTGGCTTTCCCTCCAGTGACAATCTCTGTGTCCTTCAAAATGCCTCGTTCTTTACCCTTTCAGAGCCTGATCTCTTGGTGGCATTGACTTGACAATGCAGGTGACATCAAGAGAGTCCTAATAGCACTGCCATAGCCAGGATGTCTACAGATATAGACACAGCAAGGCTTGCAGATAGAAGTAGGATCTTTTATTTAGCCAACTTATACAGTTGGAAATATCAGACAAGCCTCTGAGGCATACAAGCCCTCCTTCAGATCTGAACTAGAAACAGGTGCTTTCAAAGTTAAATGCCAGAGAACAATTACACAGAGTTTAGTCAATTAGACCATCTCTGAAAGAGAAAAATAGTAGGTAGCTGAGGACTAGAGGGGATGTTGGGGATAAAAGGTCAGGAAAGACTGAGATCTGTTCTGTGCAGTTCTGTAGTATGAGGAAAATGTTTAAGGTTTCACTTTTCTTTTTGAAATACATGACTCTGCTTCCAGTTGCTGTGAAGTACAAATAGGAGGAGGTCAATGAAAAACATGAAGAAGTGTGAATGGAATAAAAGCATATATTATGCATGAGAACTATCTGGATGGAAGATGAAAGACAGTAAGAGTACCATGCTTTTTATAGAGACACCATGTTTCTTGGGCATGTTGATTTTGGATGGGCATCAGAACCTATGAAATAAGATCTCAAAAAATTGCTTCCTGGTCAGGCCAACTTTTCAGGCTTTGACACTCACCCTAGCATGCCTTTAGCCTAGTGTTACCAGGAAAAGTTTTCCACTGGTGTGGTCAAACTTTTCTCACCCAAACTCATCTACTTATTCCACATGTCATTTAGGTGCTTTTAGTTTTTTAAGAAAACTAGGCAAAACCAAATTTTTTTGTGCTGGTTTTGGCTGATATAGTTAATTTTTTCCATAGCTGTTTGCATGGGCTGTGTTCTGGATTTGTGCTGGAAGCAGTGTCAGTAACACAGGGATGTTTCAGTCACTGCTGAGCAGTGACTGAACACAGAGTTAGTAGTGTCAGTAACACAGAGTTAAGGCCTTTCCTGCCTCTCACCCCACCCTACAAGCAAGTAGGCTCAGTGTGCACAAGGAGCTGGGAGGGGACACAGCTGGGACAGCTGACCCCAGCTGAGCCAAGGGACATTCCAGACCACACAGCACCATGCTCAGCATAGAAAGCTGGGGGGGAAAGAAGGAAGGGAGGATGTTCAGAGTGACAGTGTTTGTGTTCCCAAGCAACCATTGTGCGTGATGGAGCTCCGCTTTCCTGGGGACAGCTGAACACTTGCCAGCCTGCAGAAAGTGGTGACGTAATTTTTTTATTTGCTTCCTCATGTGCAAGGTTTATCCTTTATCTATGAGACTGTCTCAACTCATGAGTTCTCTCACTTTCAGCCTCCTGCCCATCCTGATGGGGATCAGGTGAATGAGCCACTGGGTGGTGCTTAGTTCATGGCTGGAGTTAAACTAAAGAGTCCTTTAGGATACCCAGTGTTAGGCTGGAAGTGTTTGAGATAACACCAGGTCTCAGTGGAATGTGCTAGACTGAATGTCACTTTCTTACTGTTTAGCTATTAAATGACAGGCTCCAGTGCTTGCCATGGGGCTTTCTTGCCAGGCTGTAAATTAGAGCCTAGTGCTTCTTGGCAGAATGGTTATGTGCCATGGTTATGGTGTACCTCTGAAGGAATTTTGTGACCAAGAATAATTCTTTGAGGTATACACCTCAAAGAATCTGTGGCTGTGCATGTGGTCATGCTGGAGAACCTCAAAGTGTGTGGCCATGGATAAGCCCACAACAGAGCAAGTACTCCCCTGCAGGGACTGCAGCCATGGGTAAAGCCACGTTGGAGTAGGTGCATTTCTGAAGGCATTGTGAAGGCATCCTCCATGGAGGAGGCCATGCTGGAAAAGGCACATCTCAGATGGACTGGGGCTGTGGATAAGTCCATACCACAGCAGCTGTATCCCTGGAGAGACTATGGCTCTACTTGGAGCAGGTATACCCCTGAGACACTGCAGTATATGTGTAAGTCTAAGCTGGAGCAGAGGCAAGGTGAAGGCAATGGGGTGGTTAATGGTGATATTCTGAAGAGTGTGGGATCTGAGTGATGTAAATGGCATGGAATAAGGAGTAAAGAATGTTCTGGGTTTGGCTGTGATAATTATTTCCATAGTAGCTAATATGGGGCTATGTTCTGGATTTGTGCTGAGAACAGTGTTAATAATTCAGGGATGTTTTCCTACTGCTGAGCAGGGCTTACACAGAGCCAAGGCTTTTCTGCTTCTCAGCCCATCCCATCAACGAGTGGATTGGGGGTGTACAAGGAGGCAGGAGGGACACAGCTGGGGCCAGCATACCTGATGGATATCCCATAACATATGGCATCATTCTCACCATATAAAATCTAGGGGAAGAAGAAGGAAGGGGGGACACACACAGTGACAGCATTTGTCTCCTCAAGTCACCGTCACATGTGATGGAGCCCTGGAGATGCTGAACACCTGCCTGACTGTGGGGAGTGGTGAATGCCTTCCTTTGCTTTGCTTGTGTGCGTGGCTTTTGCTTTATCTATCAACTGTTGTTGCCTCAATTCACTTTTAGCCCTCCAATTCTCACCCCCTCTCATGGTGGGGGAGTGAGTGAGTGGCTGTGTAGTGCTTTGCTGCCAGCTGGGGTTAAACCACAACCTTTTTGTACAATGCAGACATCACAGTTTTGATTGGGAAACTACCACTGTATTTACTGTAATTATAGCAATTTCATTTTGATTAATAAAAACTTTTTTCACAGTGAGAACAATTAATCACTGGAACAGCCTCCTCAGGGACATAGTAGAGTCCCCATCACTAGAGGTCTACAAGATGTGACTGCAAACAGTGCCAAATAATCTCATCCAGGTTCCCCTTCCTATGTGAAACTGGACCTGAAGATCTTCTGATGTCCTTCCAACCTGGACCATACTATGATTCTAACTATGGCATCAAAATATCAGGGATTTTCTGTTGTGAATCCCAGCTCTGCTTTTAACAGAACCTGCTCAAAGAAACATACCCATTTTGAAAATACATCTTTAGTAAAACTATGATATGAGAAGAAGGTCAGTGCAATTTCAGAAACTCCTTAACTATTACACTCTGACATGCCATAAGACATTGGTTTGGTGACCATTATTATATAGATAAGGAAATGGACAAATGCAACTCACTGATGTTTTTGCTCTTCCTTAGCTGATGCTCTAATGGTGGTTTTAACATTCTATTGACATCAATGTAATTCTGAAATTTTCTTCTTTTTATTTCTTCAAACCATTCTCCAGTCACTCCCTGCAGCCCTTTTTCAGACTTCCTTCTCTTCAGAAGTTTACTAAAAAGAAAAAAACACAAATTAAGCCATTTTAGATATTACAGGGCCATCGTTAGGAACTCTCCCTGTTTTTCATTAAAGTATTTACAGTATATCTCTACATATAATGACTTTTACAAAGGCAATGAGACATGATACATTCACAGTAATCACATTTTAGTGACAGCAACATTCTACTGTTTAGTAGAGAGAGAGAATGAGATTATGGGACCAGGTTGAGTGGATGACTCATATGCTTGCATTATTCTCTTTCTTGAGGGAGTGCATCTTTTTTCCTTGCAAGAATAAGGCAATTCATATGCATTCTAAAACTAATTGAAAGTAAGATTAAGTTGATCCAAAATCAACTTAGAATAAATAACACTCTAAATAAAGGAAATTTTGAGATATTTATTCAGTCATTTAAGTAGAAGTAATAAGAAGATTACTTTTATTTTCTAGGGGTAGATCACTGATGCCCTGACAATGAGGTGTCCACTACACATTTTCAATGCAAAGTAGAGCAGTAAATTGAGAATTCAGTTAATAGATATTCATGAAACATGTTCAACAAGTTTATCACATCTTCCTCTTTCCTTGATGCATAGTGATTCTGCCTGTGTTCAATATGGATGGAGGCAACTAATAATGAATATGAATGTTC